GTTGATTCTATTTCGAGGCCTATAAGGATGTTTTGTGATAATGTAGGAGTTGTTTCCTCAATAAATAATGGCAAGATATCTAATGGTAACAAGCACATGGATATTAAATACCTTGTCACAAAGGAGAAATGTGATGAAAATTAGGAGTTAGTTAAGTACATCAGCATTGTGCTTATGGTGGCAGACATTATGACTAAAACTATAGCTCTAGGATTATACAAAGATCATGTAGACCATATAGGTCTAGTGAACAATGTTATTGCTTGATGTACTATATGTGCACATTTGGAGACACTATCAGTTTATTATATCACATTGTTATGTTATTCTTCTTATTATATTTTTTGTGGTACGAATATGTTCTTAGCAGAAAATTTTTTTAACCAACAAATGGATTTTATGGGAAATCCATTCGTAAAGAAAATTAGCCTAAAGTCTTGTTTATGAGGGTTTGGTAATATTATGATCATGAAAGGATGTATGCTATTTATTGGTGTATATCCGTCATGGTTCATATTACTAGACTCAAGTAATCAAGAATAAAGTTAAGCTCACATATGTTGGGATAATTTGATAAAGAGCACGCATAACTTTAACGAACCCAAGTATTTCTTATTTTCAAAATATAAGGATTACTATTATTATTATATTCTTTCAACTTCCTTGTCAATTCGGTTCAAGTGGAAGAATGTTGGAACCTATTTAATGGGACCTACATGTGGACCTTAATTAACAAGGTACAGACTTGGGGTTTGGGATAAGGATATCCTAATTAAAATACCTAACACATGTTGGTTAGGTTAGTGGGTAGTTTCCTTATGAAAGCGGTGTCCTAGGTACAAGGAAACATATTTAACAAATAGTCAATTTTCAGGAAGTTACCTTGATGGGAGGGAATGGTTATTGATTAACGTATGACAGTTGGTTACCAGTGAAGGGGATATAAATTACCTGATAGACCCTCATCTCGTATTCACGCTTACAGTATATCTCACTCTTTGGAAAAACCTATCGGTAATCTATTGGGAATCAAGCTTGTGATTATATTCGGTATTATTGGTATTATTCTCGTGGAGATTTTCGTTGCATATCTCTATCAAGAATCATTGTTATGAATCACCTGAGTAAAGGTTAGTTTTCTATTCGATCCGTTTAAGACCAATAGATCTAACTGTAGAATCTATAAAATTAGAACGAAATAGAATATAGAAACCACCATTCTTGGTCTAGGGAAGCAAAACCAAAAAAAAAAAAAAAGGAAGATTATGCAACTCCACCCACACTTTATAAAATTCCTATTATCATTTCCTCACCTAGTCCAATGCTTGCACCAACACTAAATGGCGGTTTGCTTAGAATTGCAATTTATATTTATTCTTCAACATATCCACCATAATAAAAAATTATAAAATATCTTAAAGGTGAAAAAATCAACAATATCTTAAGTGCACTCGCAAATTTTAAAATAAAGAATGATAACTTGAAAATATAATCAAAAATGAAAAATTATGATTCAAAAGAGTCACATTTTTCCTCGTCTTTAAAGGATATACCAATCATTTAGTTTAATTAATATACGATCCATGGTTAGATGATCAATAAACAAAAAAAAACTCTGAAATAAATCCACAGCTATAATAATAAACCATAGTTAGCTAGGTTTTGAATAAAAATTAAAAACTAATATTCAGATGAGTCATTCCCGTCCTAAGTTTAGAAGACAAAATAATTTTTCAATCTATAAAAGATAAATGTCTCTCGTACAATGAAAATAAAGTTTAGTCAACCTTAATTTTGAATGAAAAGCTCTTGAAACGAAAAAAGCAATATGTAAAATGCTATTTGGACATCATTTAAAAACCATATTTGAGGAGCTAATTCAATGTATCATTGAATTTAAAGTGGACTTCATCTAACATTGAAACTCACAACTCATCCAACAATTGCATTGAATTAGGTACCTAAATTAGGTCCAAGTAGCATTGCTCAAGCAATTTAACTATACTTCATTCAACAACACCAAATGCCATAAAATTTTGAATTATCTTTATTAACCAAAAAAAAAACCACAATAAGAAAAAGAAAGATTCCTCATTAAGACTTAAACCCAATTTGAATAATCTAAGTCCCAAAAATTCGTGTCCAATACCCATAGAATTTGTAACCAAGATTCAAGCCTATAGGCCACCATTTTCACTTCTCTTTCTCTTTTGTATGGGAATGAGATGTTGCCTAGGAGAGTAACACTGGTGAGGAAAGTAAATGAAAATTGTAAAAAAAAAAATTGATTTTTTCATGAGATCAAAATAATACACTTTCATTTTCCCTTTTCTCCTTTATTTACCGTCAATAACCTGAAAGCACAAATGGACAAAAAAGGAAGTGAAAATTTCAAAAATAAAATAGGTATGTTCATTAAGGATAGAGAATTGTGAAGATTGAAAGTACATTTGAGTTGAAAACCGACGGTTGTCTTCCACATTTTCTTTCAAGAGAGATCGTAAGTTTTTTAGCTTAGTTAAAAAAAATCAAAATTTAAAATGAAGCAAACTGCCCAAGTTGAATGGATCCATTACCTCTTGCTTCTATATAGGGAGTAACATCACCCTTTTTTCACTACACCACTATGCACCCAAAGCATGGACTACCCGAAATGGTAAACGAAATATAATTCTCGATGGAAACCTTACCAAAATCATAAAAAAATTCAAGAGATGCAAAATAAAAAATGTAGGGAGAGAGAAGGTGTGAGCCTAAAATGCAAGAGAAAAAAGATTGAGGGATTACTTGAGAAGTCAATGACTGAATACAAGAACGTGGAGTGAGAGCGTTGGCATGAGTAGGTGGATATGACAAAGAGTAAAAATGAGGTGGGGGAGGAAGAAGGAAAAACAGGTGGAGTGTGGAGTTGGAAAGTTTAGCAGCTTGGGAGGTTACATTATATTGTGTTTGGAAAAACGGGAGTTATCCATTACTCTTTGTTAATTACAGAAGTCCAATAGTCTACCCAACTCCCACAATTATAAACTAAGCCCCAAAAATTCATGCCCAATACCCATAGAATTTGTAACCAAGATTCAAGCCTGTAGGCCACCATTTTCACTTTTCTTTCTCTTTTGTATGGGAATGAGATGTTACCTAGGAGAGTAACACTGGTGAGGGAAGTAAATGAAAATTGTAAAAAATTAAAAAAAAAATTTGATTTTTTCATGAGATTTAAATAATAAACTTTCATTTTCCCTTTTCTCCTTCATTTACAATCAATTTCCTGCAAACATAAATGGACAAAAAAGGAAGTGAAAATTTCAAAAATAAAAGAGGTATGTTCATTAAGGATAAAGAATTGTGAAGATTGGAAGTACGTTTGAGTTGAAAACTGACGGTTGTCTTCCACGTGTTCTTTCAAGAGAGATCGTAAGTTTTTTTACTTAGTTAAAAAAAATCAAAATTTAAAATGAAGCAAACTGCCCAAATTGAATGGATCCATTATCTCTTGCTTCTATATAGGGAGAAATATCACCCTCTTTTCAAAACACCACTATGCATCCAAAGCATGGACTACCCGAAAATAGTGAACTAAATATAATTCTCAATGGAAACATTACAAAAATCATAAAAACAATCAAGAGATGCAAAAGAAAAGAGGTAGGGAGAGAGAAGGTGTGAGCCTAAAATGCAGGAGAAAGAAGATTGAGGGATTACCTGAGAAGTCAATGACTGAATACGGAAAGGTGGAGTGAGAGCATTGGCATGAGTAGGCGGATATGACAAAGAGTAAAAATGAGGTGGGGGAGGAAGAAGGAAAAAGCGGTGGAGTGTGGAGTTGGAAAGTTTAGCAGCTTGGGAGGTTACATTATAATTTGTTTGCAAAAACGGGGAGTTATCCATTACTCTTTATTAATTACAGAAGTCCAATAGTCTTCCCAACTCCGACAAATCGATTCAGGCTCGTTTCTTTGCCACAGATCGATGATGTGGATGGACAAGAGATTGATCGATGTTCGTTTTGTTCTCTTTTTCTTGGAAAAAATATTCATTACAACAGTGATATCATGTGGCAATGCTGACGTGGTATCATCAACCAATAATATCTAAACAAATAAATAAATAGGTCCCACTAAAATTAATAAGCAACCCTCCATGTAAGTAAATAACTACTTATTTTTTCTCCATTGTTGACATGATATCACCATTTTGAAACGTTGATAATATGGAGATCGATAGTGAAATTATTCTGTGTGACTCAGATCGATGACATAGGTCATGCTTTTAGAGTAAATATTGAATGTAACGATTATATAAATATTGAATATAACAATTACACCACTACCAAAAGGACCATACTAAATACCCTAAAATTTATGAGTTTTAAATTTTTAAACCTATTTTAATTAGGAGTAACTACTAGGTAATTTAGTCTTCTTATTATAAAATGTTATTTAATTTTTAATAGACAACTCTCATTAATTAATTATTTTATTATTATTATTTCTTAATTAATCATAGTCCAAATAAAATATTATTTAATTAGAGTTAATTAATTATTTAAATTAGTAATCTTGTTGGATAAAACTTCTTAGCTTTCTTAAATCATATGAAAGTAGGTTTATTATTGTATTATATAAGAACTATAGAATAGATTTTTGTTTTGTAGAACAACCAGCAGAAGCTTGGATTCATTTTGTTTTTCCTTCGTTTTCGTTTTGACGTTAAGTTTCAACATCTCATTGTTTCGTTTGGTCATCTTCTTCTTTTTTGTTTGGCCTCCCAATTTCCGAAGCAAACCAAACCAGAGATTTCCAACCCCAAATTCAAAGCCTCCTCAAGCTTTAGGTACGAATATTAAACGACTGAATCGGTGAATTGTTAATTTGATTGTTTATTGTTAAAAAGACACGGGAGAAAGGAAAGTGTTGAACAAGTATTAACCGGCGAACTTTGATCCTTCAAAGATATCAAGGCGAAGACAACCTAAGAACCAGCAGATTAAGGTTCGGATGATGCTTCCCACGAGCATTCGATGCAACACTTGTGGCAATTACATCTACAAAGAGACCAAGTTCAATTCGCGCAAAGAAAATGTCATTGGTGAGACATACTTGGGAAAAATTTAGATATTTAGACTTTATTTCAAGTGCACTAAATGTTCGATCAAAATTACTATAAAAACAGATCCATAAAATTCAGATTATGTTGTTGAGACTGGTGCAACATAGAATTTCTATGAGGAAGTAGAGAATAAGAAACGCAAAAGGGATATTGAGGAGATGGGAGATCTAATGAAATCTTTGGAGAATAGAACCTTGGACTCAAAAAGAGGAATGGACATCCTTGCTGCACTGGACGAACTAAAGTCCATGAAATTAAGACACGCAGTTGTAAGTGTAGATGCAATGCTTGAGGTCCTGAACCAGGAGGAAAAGGAAAAGGAGTTGGAAGAAGAGGATGAAAGTCTTATTATATTTCGAGGATCAAAAGTTGTCTGAAGGATTGATGATGAAGATTTTAATGATGAGGATTTCACCGACAATAAGAAAACATCAAAGGTTTCTGAAGATCTGTCTACGACAAAAACTAGCATTGTTGACAACTCCAACATCCAAGCATCTAGGAGTACTGGTAAATTTATTTTTAAGTCATCATCGCATGGTGCAACAAACATTTTGCTCCGTTTGGTACAATGAAAAAGTAGAATGATAGAAAGTTAGAAGGATGAAAAGTTTGAGGGATAAATAAAATATCATATTTGGTAAGGAAGAAAAATAAGAAAGATGGAAAAGTAGATGGATTAACTTTCCTTCCAACTTACCAAAATCAATCCCTCCAAAATCGAAAATAAAGTAGATGAAAAGTTAACTATTTGCGTTTAGATGTATCTTATTTGTCTATATATTATATACATATTTATTAATTTTATATAAAAATACAATGATATAATATATATATATATATATATATATATATATATATTTAAAAAATTTTAAAAAAATTTAAATTAAAACAAAAAAATTTTCATCTTAACTAGGGGTGAAAATTTTTGACTCAACACGATGAAACGACTCGAACTCGACACGAATTTTATGATACAAACTTGATTATAACTCAACACGAACTTAAAAATGACCTAACACGTAAACAAAAAATTATAAAAGGTTCATAATTTTATAATTCAATACGAATCTGATACAACACGACTCGATTGTCACCCCTAATATTAGACAAAAAAATTATAAAAAAAATTGGTCATTTTTATTTTCTATCTATCCAACCAAACACAAAAGAAGAAAAGTATATCATTCATACTTTTCATCTTAGAATGATAGAAAATGTATCCCTCCTACTTTCCATCTTTCATATTTTTCATCCTTTTTATTTTTCATCATTCCTATCAAACAGAGCATAAAAACAATGGATTACAATTGGTATGTCAACGATATGAAAGTGAAGAAAACTAGGAGTTGTATTTAATTTAGGAATTTAATTAATTTTGACATCTAAATAAATTATGTGTAAATTGTGGTTATTCAACACTAATGAATTTTTCCAATGTTAGTTCAAATTCAATCCGAAAATTAGGTATAGTAACATAATAATTTGGGGCCCAATGCCCTTAATAACCTAGTGCGTGGGCGGCCGCAACTTGTACTCAAAAATAGGAACATGCACAGGACGAAATGAAGTCCACGAAGGTGATTATTTAATTAAAGGGTTAATTGTACTGAAGGTTCAAAAATATGAAACTTGTCTCATTTTAGTTTTTAATAATATTTTAATTACATCATTTTAATTTTTGAAGTATTAAATTTATTTTTATGTGGTCCCTCAAGTAGACAGTGTGCAAATTGCTAACTATTATTTTATTATAAATTTATCAAGTAATACTTAAATATAGGCAAAAAATAATTTGGATAACTTTTAACCAAATTTTTATCCAAATTTTGGTCAAAAAGCTACTCAAATTGCATAATTTTGATCATAAGCTATCCAAATTTTGGTCAAGAGCTACTCATGTTACATATTTTTTGTCAAGAGCTATCCAAATTATTTTTTACGCATATTTAAATATCACTTAACAAATTTATGATAAAAATCACTAGCAATTTGAATGTTGTGAGACGAACCACGTAAAAACATATTCAATAATTTAAGGATGAAAATGATAAAATTGAAATATTGATGACCAAAATGAGATAAATATTATACTTTAAGGACCTCTAGAGCAATTAATCCTTAATTAAATGAATATTATGTAACCAGAAATCCATATTTGGCATGTGCTTTTTTAAAGTCCCAAAATAATAGACACACACATTAACTAACATAAACAGATACCGATGCACCAAAATATATGCACTAGTATATCAAAACGCACACTTAAACTATTACATCAAAAAATACACTCACATAGTAATACACCAAAATATGCAAACGCGCACACAAATACGCTGAAATACACACCTTACTAAACTAAAATACACATATATTACTGTACCAAAATACACCCATGTCCTGTTTTGCCCCATTTTCCTTGTTTCTTTGCTAATTTTCTGCATTCAAGAATTAAAAGCAGGTTCATCATTTGTAAGGCCACATTAGATAACGGTACTGGCTCAAAATTGGAGGGAGAAAGAAAATTAGAAACTTAAGGATACACAACTCCTTTGCATTTCTAACAGGGGGCAGACTCTACTAACGCTAACATATTACAACCTAAGGTTAGCACAAATAGTACATAAATATTTAGTTGGGTTAGTAATATTTTTGGTCCGTAAATTATGTATTTTTTTATCAGTTTAGTATTTAATGTATTAATTTTGTCAATTTGATCCTTAAAATATTCAATTCGTATTATTTTGATCTCTACATAGATGTACCGTTAAGTTTTTTGACTAAAGTGATCAAGTGTCACTTTTTTCGATAGTATCACGTGCCCAACACATGATCATTCCGTCAAAAGTTTAACGGTTCATTTATGTAAGAATCAAAATGACATAAATTGAATACTTTAGGAACTAAATCGATAAAATTGATACATTGAAAATTAAACTGACAAAAAATACATAGTTTAAAAAGCAAAAGTGCAATTAACCTTATTTAATTCAACCCATTTTGAAAAAGTAAAACAATCCTGTAAACAATTTTAGATTTTCTTTCTCTTAAAATCATTTTAAATTTATCCTCAAATAGACTCCTAATTTGACCAGCCTTCTTGATCTTGTTCTACATGTTACTAAGATGCCAGGATTTTTGTTTATTCGGGGTTAAGTTAAATATTCATACAACTAACAAAATAAAAATATTTTATAATATATAATGTGGCCCAAAAAATTTGTTTTTAATGTTGGGCCAAAAATTTTATTTTTCTAATGTTAGGTCAAAAGTTTTTGTAATAGGTTTGGGTAGATAATATTGGGCTCAAATTTTTTTGTTTTAAATAGGTTAAATTTTTAATTTTTTTGGGTAAATAATGTGGGCCTAATATAAATGAAGGGACACACATAATATATTATATAAATATATAATACATATACCCTACTAATAAAATTTTATTTTTTTTGAGGGGGGGCACTTGCCCACCCTGGCCCAGCTATCCTCTCCGCCCCTACGTAATCCCCTCTCTGTTCCGATTAAAATAGGAATATAAAATTCTGAAAAAACTCTTTCTTTCCATGATATTGGGGCTTAAGCCTTAATGATTTTGAAAAATTGGACTAATGATTAGTGATTTAGTGGACTGGTACTAATAACCTTATATGAAAGTGGTAATTTTTTTTTTTACTCTGAGCTTCAGCCCACTAATGGATCCGTCCCTGCATGCATCTGCTAGAGATGAATTTCAAGAGATATTGGCTGCTACTGTTTATACCATATTGAGGGAGACAGGAATGCAAGACTAAACTAACCTAGAAGAGAGGAACATTTATCTCCAATTTTATGTTTCTTATAATATCGTTCTTTACTCGGACACACACCCTACTACTGAAAATATGAGGACACCCTTGATTCATAAATTCAATCAATCTACCTACTGACAAAAAAAAAATGAAATTATCTTTGTCAATTAAACCACTCTAATAATTGACTACTCACACCACTGGCCTCCAACAATCAGTCATCATTGTCATTTTTAACTACTAACACCACTATGATTTGTAGTTTTTCATTCTGATATTTCGTTTTCCAACCATTACATGGGCTGTGCTTATTTTCTGGTTTAATATTGATCACTGTCTTTTCTTTGTTTCTGAAAATATATGTGTCATATATTTTGATTGTTGAAAAGTAGGTTTATCCTTACTAAATCAGAGTAATTATGGAGACTTAAACCTAAATACTAAGTCAAAAAATTTGAATTCTTAACCACTAAATCAACCGATCAGTAATAATATTTCCTATCAATTGCTGGAGTTACATACTAGTTTTATGGGAAGGTTGTCTTTGTTGGTGGACCACCCAAACACCAAAATCAAATTACAAATATAGAAGAGAGAGAAAAGAATTTATGCACCGGTTATAATGAGAGTGAGCTGCAGTAGTGATAGTGGTGGAAGATAGTGATGATTATATTGAGCAGCGACAACTGTGGTGGTGGTAGTAGCCATGAGTGGCAACAATGATTGTGATGGTGGTTTTTGAGTGACTATAGTGGCAATGACAGCCATGGATAACGGGAATGGTGGTGGGTGATGACAGTGGTGATGACGGTGGTGGGTGTGAGTAATGGTGGAGCGTAGGTGTGGTGAGGGTGGGTGACAGTAGATAGCAACGATGGTGAGCGATGACAGGTGGTGGCGGGTGGGTAACAATGGGTGGTAGTTGACAACGATGGTGGTGGTGGATGGTAGAGATGGGTGAAGGTGGTAACAATTGTTCATGGATGACGATGGTAGTGATAGAGTGGCAGTGGTGGGGTGGCGACGACGATGATGGTGGTAAAATATATTGTAGAGAAGTAATTATAAAGAAGTAGAAATTATTTTTTACTTATTTATTTAAATGATAAAATTATTTTTGACTCATTTAAAAATAATTAAAATAATTTATTATTTAAGAAGTTATAAGTCCACCCCCAAACCCACCCTATATTAGTTGTTCGGGAATACCACGTGGCTGGTGATAACCCGCGGATTGGGAACACAAAGAACAAGTGTAACGGCGGCGTTTGGACTAATGTCAGAGCTAAGCCGTTGACAGATTGAGATAACCACCATAATGCTAAGCCATCGCACGCCTAGATACCGAAGATCTACATTCTCTTCGACTCTTCCTCACAAACAACGAAGCCACTGTCTGGATAATCGAAGAAAACACCATGGACGAACCTAAGAAGCACCAGGTCCCCCCTCTCTCTCTTATGTATGCGATTATTTCCCGAATTTTTATCTGAATTAGTTGTTCTGATGTTCAATTATCAAATTCGCTCTTGTTTACTTGATTCTTTAGGCGGTTCAATTTTCAATCAGAGCTAAATTTGAATTACCTGTATAATTAATGTGGTCGATCAGGTGTCGCTGCGGGGAGCGAGCGCGAAGGAGATATCAAGGGATGCTCTTCTTGAGAGAGTATCCCAAGAAAGGGAGCTCCGGAATTATACGAGGCGAGCTACGGCAGCTGCACTGTTTATACAGGTTCAATTCTTCGTATGATTCATTAATTTGATTCTTCGTTACTGTTTTGGGCTATACATGGAATGCACTTGAACCAGTGGATCCAAAATTTTAGTCCATATGCTTGTGTATATATGAGTGTCAAGTTTTTTCTAAAAGAATTGAAGTAAAGACCTGTCTATCTTGCTAAATCCTATGGGTGTCAATTTTTGTCTCGAACACGAACCCGACTTGAACCAAAAATAACACGATTAGTTGACGTGAGTTATAAATGGATCAAATTAAGGTTTGACACGAATAACACGATTAATGGGTACTGTAGATAGAAAATAATTATTTAATGAGTATTGTAGATAGAAAATAAGAATTTTATAATTTTTTAAATATTATTATATTAGTTATTGTCAAATTAAATAATTTTTTACTAATACGAATATTGACGCGAACCCGACACGTATCGAAATTGATACAACATAAAAATAATACAACCAAAAGTGACACGACACGAAACTAATACAATACGACACGAAACTAATACAATACGACACGATTGACACCCCTACTAAATTCATTGAACACAGTAAACCCAAAGGGTACACAAGGTCAGTTCAAGTCTCCCCCACTAATCCATCTGATAATCTGGTGCATTTGGGGCTGGTAGAGTGTATTGTAGAGGTTTCTATGCATTATTTCTGATGGTGTAATTTATGCGGTTTCTGTGCATTATTTCTGATGTTGTAATTTATGCGGTTGTCCAGTTTGAGTTACTAGGTTCGTAGTGGTTAATAGTCGATCACAGAGACAACAACCATCAATCGATAGACAGGAGATTTATAGTGGTTCATTAACTTAGAATCTTGGCCAGTCTACTCTAATGAAGTCTCTTGCTCCTAGAGGTTTTTCTATTATTTGGGAAAGAAGATTACAAAGTTATAGAGAGTCTATTCATAGATATTTTGATTCCTTCCAAAGCGAGGGATTGATCCCTATTTATAGTGTGTAGGAACTTTGCGTAATCAGCGTGATCCTTACATAATAGCCGTGATCCTTTTGTAACAACAGAGATCCTTGCATAATCAACGTAATCTTCTAGAAGTTATTACGACTCATGTGTCGGAAATCTTTGGCCGTTAGAGGCTATATTATCTAGGCGTGATGTGACTTTCTGAAAGGTTTGAGTTGTCACTGTTACAGTGTGCTTGAAGGAAGATGTGAGGTGGAAGACCTAAGTTGGGGGTCTGAGTTAGAAGACCTGAGCTTGGAGTTCAAGCTAGAAGACCGAGGTCCGAGCTGAAAGACCTGAGTTGGGAAGTCTGAGCTGCTTCTAGGCTGAGCTTAACCTTGGATAATTTTTGGTATCATTAATTTCGGTCAGACCCGTTTCAAAAATAAAATAAGAACTAATAAAAAATTTGAGAATTATTTTTTTAAAACATTATCATTGGTCAATATATACCAAAGTATTTTGAAACTCCTTAAATCATTCCGAAATAATTGAATAAATGCATCGAAACATTAAGAAATACCTCAAACATTATGAAACATTTCGAAATATTAAAATTTCGATTGTATCACTAATTCGTTTCAATCTCTTTAGAAATAGAAACGTTTTAGCTGTTCCAACCGATTCGAAACGAAATTTTAATTCTTGGTGGAGGCGTGGATACTTCTTTGTTGGCCAGGAAAATAGAAAAGAAACAAGCCCATTGACACAATTCATACAACAACATGGGAAGAAAGTGTAACATGTTTCTGATAATTGAACAAATGGAAAGTTCACTCCTTTTAACTCCTAAGAATTTTGCGCGTGTATTGAGCTGAGGGTCAACCCTTTTATATAGAAGAGGACCAAGTGATTAGCCGGAAAGATGTCAACTTTGTGCTATTTCAAGATTTTTTTCGTAAACTATTGCATAAACACTGAATTACATGTCTAATCTGTGGAATGCATAGTTGATTGACAACTGGAACAACTGGGCATAAATTGAAAATCTGTGAAATAGATTGAGGTTTTTGTCACAACTAGTTGGACTATATCTGTTTGTAGCAAAATAGATAATAAATCTCAAGGATAAATGGTGCGTAGAATCTCTGACTTTGTATTTGATGTGAATTTGGATGGCATTAGATTTGGAGGATTGTTTGACTGATTCTTGCCTACTGGTATATGCCTTTTAGATTAAATACTTGGGGAAATTTAGAGGTCAGTTCACTTTCCAAGGCTTATTGGACCAAGTCCACTCAAAAACGTTGTTTGAGAATAAGATCATTTCGATCTTCATTGTCCAAAATACCTCCCGTAATTATATTTAACGAAAACAAATTTAAAAACTAAAAATTTCTAAATTTTAGGAGTTTTCCTAACATTTAAATTATTTATCTATCATATCTATCTATATATATGATGAAAGAGAAATAGTAACATTCAAAACAAAAAAATAGTAATATTGAATATTAAATATTAGAAAATAAAAAATAAAAAATAGTAACATTCAATATTAACATTTCAGAAAATAATAACATAGCAATATTAACAGTAACATGCTCAAAAAAAAAAATAGTAACATGGTCAAAAAAAAAGTAGTAACATGAAATATTGAACAAAATTGGGGATCAAATCAGTAACACATTGAGCATTTTTAAGAACATTGATAGCTGATGATGCATAGGAGAGAAAAAGTAACTTGCTAACAAAAAAAATAGTAGCATGGAACATTGAACAAAAGTGGAGGGTCAAACTACTAACACGCTGAACATTTTTAAGTTATGACTCAAATGGTCATTTGAAGGACTGTTCTAAAAAAAGGTGATCTTATATGTTGGGATACAATGGATTTACTCTCCAATATCCACCTGGGGCAACACCACTATCTCATTGGGATCCATCTTCCTACAATCCAGCATAGACTTCGCCAATGGCACATCCGCCATTGAAAACACCACCACCCCATCTCTAGCCACAATATTCTCAGTAATCCTCCTAATCCACCAACAAGAATACGGATTATCCATTAAATTAGGTTTCACAACCCAATTATATGCAGCTCATCACAAAAGCAAATTACAAATTACAGAAGAAGATAAAAAAATTCCTCCTCCACGCACCTTTTAACACACCTTTTAACACTTGGTTTCCATACAAAAATGACATCTCTGAAGTGGGTTTTAGCCAAACGTTGTGTTTGGCATTGGAAGCTAATAGATTGACTTCATGTCTGGTCAAATGGAAGGTACCACTTTTTGAGAATTTGCCAATGCTTGTGCTCAAAGAGACCAAGTTGTTTTGTTTGATGTTTGTGGCTTGCTTGACTAGAGATTCGCTCACATAGGTGGCCGACAATCTCAATGTTGGTGGTTGTTGCCACTAGGAAGTCCTTGATGCCATGGTCAATGAAGAAGATCAAGCACATGAATGTCCTAGAGTGGACGCTATATGCACTATATCATCCGAAACCATATGAGATCTTTGATTCTTCGAGGTGGATGTCAGGAATTCTTCAAGTGAGGCTACGAAGAAGTACTCAACTTTAGGATTGAGTTTAAAGATCTGGAAATCGTGGATAGGGTTGGTATGGGAAGGAGATGAGACCACACAGAAGATGTAGAAGAGAAGAGATAGAGCCATTAGAGTAATAACGAATAACATAATGCTTTTTCGATGACAAATATGCTTTCAAGTTGCGGTTTCTCTCTTTGCATTAACAGAAGATCTAATCTTAAATTTGAAATTCAAATTTTATAGAAATATATTACTGGATGGTATTTATTATGAAGATCTCCAATTAACATAAATCAAAGGGGTTTCTTGGTTTGGAAACTGATTTCTCAAAGAAAAATGCTTTCAATGTAATAATAATGGCATTTTGGTATAAAAGAAAAAGTTTGGACTTAACTACTTACTACTCAGATTATAGTAGGATTTATTCCCAAATATGTTTAAGGGATGGACTTAACTCATTTTAAGTTCCCTATATAGGACTTAGCCCAATTATCACTAATACTTAGCAGAGAGACCAATGCCCCTTTAGCTCCTGAGGGATAGACAAGTTAGCATTGTACTGTTACAGTTGGAGTTCAGGAATGGACTCTAGCCCTCCCCTTGAAGTCCTCAAAAGTGTAGGGAGATGCTTACAAGGTAGTGGCCAAACAACCTAGTGTGCCTACTTACATTAACCTGTTGGAATTTGAAACTACTATATGCACACAAGTCTTCAATGAAGTAATGCTATTAGGCCAGTAAACAATAACCCTTAATTGCTTAATCTACTCCTAGCTCTTTAAGGAATGCTTCTTGTAGCCTGTACTTATCCATCCCGCCATTCTGCAAGGGATGAAGTAATTTATGACCTGACTTTTAGTATAAGAAGTTGTCTCCCCTCTAGTGGGACCTGTGATAATGTACTTTCCCTTAAGCTTGTTACTGGCGAAGTAAGTAATTACGTGCCTCTTACTGTCTATGAGTTACATGAAATCTATAGCTATTTGGAGCTGGTCCAGTTTCTAGTTGACCTTGGCATGTTGGCCCTTGAAATACATGTTGATGAATGGTGAGATAGATATTAAATGTGATAATGTTGCATGTGGATCAAGTGCTTCTGCTGCAATTAATATATTGCTTTTGTGCAATTCGGGAATGACCTGATGAGTCCAGCGAATTTGGAGGCGACACAATGCAACAAGAATGGTGGCTTTGCAGCTTCAGCAAGAGTGGGAAACAATGATCAATCACCATCCTTTTCCTATAGCCACAGTGTGGATTTCCAGAAGTTTCTTGAGGCCTTTCCTTTTCTTTGTTACATGTTTATCAACTCGATGTGGGAAAATTAAAGCCAGGCACATAGATTGTATGCAGAATTGCTTCAGAATTCTATTGAAAAGCATAAATTCAACTGGTATGCTATTTTTTTCCGTTTACTTCCTCAAATTTGGATAGTGCATAATGTTTTAGATGATGTGTATTTTCAGTAAAATGCGATACTTTTTATATCTAATACATGTGTATAATGGATTGTTCTTATCAACCATATAGTTTAGTTCAATATGTGTGAAAATTCACTGCATAGAGAGTTTCAAAAGATTATCTCTTGGCACTCTCACCTAATTAAAACAATCAATTTTTGATGTTGATGTCGTAGTCTATGTTGTAATTTTCTTTATGCTTCGTATAAGAGACAATGTTGAATATTACTATATCGGAGATGATAATGAAGACCAAATCATAATTTGCACTCTTGTGACAAAATTTGTTAAATCAGTCCCACAAAGGCATGAATTTGATTACTACTTTAATTGTGGAAAATGTAACATTTATAAAATAAAATTAGTGTCATTCAATACATAATATATACTGGTACATACATGTATCCAGTAATTATAGGCAAATTATTCTTTTCTTTCTATTGCGAACTTTCCATCAGAATCCTTGTCATTTTGCCATGATAGATTTTTAATTGTGCATTCCGACAAAAAAAAAAAGATCATGTCATAGTGGTTCTTACAATGTTCAATATGTTTCCTTTGTTCTTACAAACAAATTTTGTTCTATCACTTGTTGATTGGCAAATCCAGTTTTTTATTTGGCATTTATGGTACTTGTTTTCTTGGTAATTGTGCCCAAGTGACCTTCCATGCAGGTAATTAATCAGAATGCTATTGTCTGAAAAGAATGAAGTCACAGAAAATTGCCTGTAAATCCTACTTTTCCTTTGGAACACTATTAAGTCCAGTCAACTATCTATTAAGATGTATAACTCATTCTTTTGACATTTATTCCGAATTATTTGAATCTTAGACATTGATTCTTACAATAAAAGTTAAAACATGGCTGTAGGACCATCTATGAAGTGGGCATATTAAATGAAAACTTTTCTATTGATGAAATTGACGGTTCCTTGGTATGTATAAGTAGGAAGAGAAGAAAGGTCACAAATGGGCTGGGGTTGATGAAAGTATCCGCAAGAAGTCAAGGTATAACTAATTGGTGACAAGATGCAAAAATGTTGCTAGTGATGGCTTGTTCATATGCTGTGAAGATTTATGATTGGGTTTGTACAGTCAAGCAATTTGTTTTCATGCGTCAACTTCAAGATGAAGTAATATGCTTCGAACTCTAGGTCATAGCAAGGGCGAAGGCCACCAAAGGAGTCTGTTGTGGTTGTGTGAGGGAGAAAACCATAGTTTTATCTACTGACAAGCTAGTGTGCCCAAAAATGTGATAATGCTAAGTCCACCCCCCCCCCCCCAATTTCCCTTTCTTTTCTCCCCCCATTGCCTGTGGTATTATTACAGGATGAATTAATGAGCACTATATGAAGAAAGAGAAGGGTTGTAGTTGGGTTGTAAGTTTTCCAATACATCAGTCATTGGTATGGTCATCTTAGTTTTATAGGAGAAGCCTATTTGGTACTGGTTGGATCATCTCTTCAGGTGTTGTATTACTCATTTGATGAAAAAGGAAAAAGGATAAATTAAGCTTAATATGCGCTGCCAGGGTGTTGTGTCATGAAACCTTAAACTTTTGCTCAAATAGATGCTACCATGAGAAGGGGCAGAAATGAAGAAACGAAGTGATGAGAAGAAATGGTAGGAAGGAAATATTTGACAGCACAGAGTTGATCTATTGTGTTTTTGGTTTTTCGCTTAGTCCCGGGGGCTGTTTGGTCGTTCGCTTCATGATATTGTTCTGTTCTTGCGTGAGTCATTTCATTGTAAACAGTCTCATCACTATTCCAATCTATTTTGTTATTTTATGTTTAAATCAAACAAACATTGTCCTGATTAATTGTTTTTGATTGTAGATCCACAGGAAAATTTTTGCTCTCTGGCAACAGGTACTCTTGAGGAGAGAAGGATATGGATGTATCAAGCACAGAAGTTGATTTCCCTGTGTTTATTTATTCTTGCAAATTGTGATAACTTCCGTCAAGAGGATCGAGATATTGTTGTTCTTACATCTCTAGCAATGCGTTTTGCTGTTGCCTTGACTGATCTGAAAGGGTGGAAAAGCGTTAGGGACGATAATCTTCGGGATGCAGAAATTGCAGTGAAGCATTTAGTTCGGATTATGGGAAGTAAGAAGAGTGGGCTGTACATTTGTATTAGAAAATACATTAGTAAGTTGGATGCTCCTTTTTCTTCACAAATGAATTATTCTGGCCAGACAGATGATAGATTCCTGATTACTGCAAGTGCGATAACTCTAGCTCTACGGCCTTTTCTTAGTGCAAATTTGGACATAAATGACAACATCCCATTGGATACCCAATGTGCTGCTGAGCAATATTGTGTGTTACTGCTTTCAATTCCTTGGTTTGCTCAACGTTTGCCACCGGTACTCTTACCTGCATTGAAGCACGGTTCTATACTGTCACCTTGCTTCAGGACAATACTGGTAATGCTCACCAAGTGAATTTATAAATTTGCTGATAAACTATATCTTAATATTGTGCTTAAAATTTCTCGATTTATTGGTGGTTAAAAGTTGGATCGCTTTTTGTATTGAAACCAGTACCTGAAGCAACTGTTCTACTGTAGTTCTGGCATTCATACCATGATACGATATATTCAAGACATGATATGCTGTGTATATCACCTTGTCGCTATACCAGGTTGTTTTTTTGGTACCACTTGGAGAATTTGGGTATCTAATTGTGTTTTCTGTATCTTCGCTTGGATGGTAACCACTATGCATCTCATCTAATCTATAGTCTAGTAACTTTTTTGGTTGGTTTATTCATAAGTTGCCTTCAAAGATGACGATATTCTGTGAACATAACTACAAGCACGGTGTTTTTGGTATCTTCTTTCTGAAAAACAATTTCTTTGGTCAATTTCCTCTTATAATGTGTCTGTCATGGTTCTTATTTTGTGTTAGGTGTTTCTATTTTTGAAATGTAGAGATATAACAGTATGTTATAAACTGGTGTGGTAATTCTGTCAAATTGTCATCTTGAACCTTAGACATATATTTGAAATGTTCCCTAAATTTATTCTACGTCCTTGATCTACAATCCTAATGAATATGTAGTAGTTTGCCTTTGATTGATTTGACGTGAAGCGTGAGTTATTGTTAACAGGAAATCAAAAGGTTCGTGGTGTAGTTTCAAAAGGTTCCAATACAAATTACAAATATTTATACTAATAAGATAGAATTGATTTTGAATCCTTAAGTTAGCCTATGGCTCAAAATCATCTCCAAAAACATTTCCCCCCAAACTTGAAAACCCCAATCAGTCCGTACTTTTTCACACTAACCAAGGCCAAACTAAGTCTTCTCTCTACTATCTCTTTATTCTCTCTCTCTATTAGGGATGCTGAATAATTTGTATTTTGATTGTAGGATTTATTAAACAGAGCCTTTAGGCACTGGCAAATTCTAGTATAACAAATAGCACAACCTAATTAATCTCCAGATCCATCAATGAGCTTGTTACCCAGGGAATAAGTTAAGTCTCAACATGCTGTAAATTTAATAAAAGGAAATAATTGTATTAGTGATTGGGAGTGCAGTCATTGTTCTCTAAACAGGTAATGTGATATCCTCTGCTTTAACAGCATACATTTTATTGAAATAAGTCCCAGATAACAGCTCCCTAGAGTAAAGGGTGGAGGACGAACTTGAAAACTAAAGAACTTGTGGAATTACATTTCTGTATGTGGGTTCCTTGCTGCTCCTATGCTTTTGGAGGTTATTTGTGTAATGTTCCTATGTTTTCTGCTATTTCTTCTTGGCATATGATTGGTTCTGATTTCTCTCTTTAAGGTACTTATTTATCTCATATTAAAAGTTAAAACATGAAGGGGCTGATCAAACTATGGCAGGTGATGGCAGATTTCAAAAGAGAAAATTTTGAAGGAGGTGGCAGAGGTGGATCCACTGAAAATGGCTTTTGATCCCAAGCTGATTCCACAAGCTGGATGGCTTCTTGCAAACATTATATTTTTTGCAATAGGGAGTGATGGTAATTCTTTGGATCCTGGAAAGTTAACACAAGGCATAGAGTTTGTATCCTATATCCGTGTTGTTATCATCCTTGCAGAGGGCTTATTAGCTTGGGTTGAGAGAGTTGGATTAATGAGAAAGGAGAACCAAGGCATTCATAGTGATTGTGAAACTTCTGCTGAATCTATTGATTGTATGCTGCACAAGACTGAGACAATTTCTGAGTCCCTAAAGATGTCATACATGGACTTCCTTAAGCCTGTTTGTCAACAGTGGCATCTTATAAAACTTCTAGCCTTGGACAAAGATGGTTTCATTCACGGGGTTGATAATCGGCTGCCAAACAATCTGGAATCTCCAGTGAAGTGTGAACTGCTAGATGTTGTGTATTATTATTCTTACTTGCTTAGAATATTTTCAGTTCTGAATCCTGTGGGTGGGTCATTGCCTATTCTTAACATGTTGTCCTTTACTCCTGGATTTCTTGTCAATCTATGGGCAGCACTGGAAAGATTCCTTTTCCCTGGAAAGAGTCATAATTCTAAGGATAATAATCTTCATGAAAGTAAAATTTTCGGAAACAAGAATAATGAGGTTTTTGATAGAAATAAAAAAAAGGTAGCAAAGGACGCAGGCAATAAATGGGTTAATGTACTGCATCGAATTACTGGTAAGACACAAGATGATTTTGATTATAATGGTTCAGTCAATGGTCAACCCAGTAACAACCATGACGATGAGGATTCTTCTGATATTTGGGATATAGAGCCTTTTAAGCGAGGTCCAGGAGGCATATTGAAAGATACAGCTTGTCTGCTTTATCTCTTCTGTGCCACCTATTCCCATCTGTTGCTAGTTCTTGATGACATAGAGTTTTATGACAAACAGGTAAAGTACTTCTAGTATCAGCCTTTTTTTCCTTTCAAATTTTTTTTGGTTACTTCAAAATTATTTTTACCAAAGTACTTCACCGGAAAACTCAGGTTCCCTTCACACTGGAGCAGCAAAGAAGAGTTGCAGCAACGCTTAATACATTAGGGTATAATGCCTTTTCCCATGGTATCAGCCATCAGAATAGACCTCTTATGGATGCAGCCGTGCGATGCCTGCATTTATTGTATGAAAGGGATTGCAGACGCCAGTTTTGCCCTCCTGCGTTGTGGCTTTCACCTGCTAGGAAGAATCGACCACCTATTGCAGTAGCTGCCAGGACTCATGAAGTTCTGTCAGCTACAGTAAGTGTGGATGATACTCTGACCAGTCCAAGCATGGGTTCTGTCATCACTACTACTCCACATGTCTTTCCATTTGAAGAAAGGTAAGCACAAAATGATAAAGTCTCTTGAGCTCATACCTTTTGCACCACTTTGTTTATGTTCTATTGTTAACTTTGCTTTTTCATTTGCGATAGAAGAATTGACTTTTAAGAACCTTTGCTTTGACTTTGGGCCTTTGGCTAAAGATGCTTTATTTATTTTCTGCAATTGGTTCTAATGGTGCTCAAAATCGACTGGACTGGATTACAGAACAGCCTGAGATGGGGCCCAGTGAGTATGTGTGTGTGTATACGAGAGTGTGAGCGTGTATGCTATGTGTATGATGTAAGAAGAAGACAACGGTTTGGCTGGTTTACCTTAGCTGAAAGACTAAGGTTATGTTTACTGTAAGGGAGACTCTTACTCCTTGAAAATTTTATTACTTGGGAAAGAAGATTGTTGTTACAGGGTGTTTGGCTTGAAGCCTTTTACTGGATATTGCCTAAACTTGGTAGTTTTCCGAATGACTCTCTTGTGCCCAGTAGCACTGTTGGCTTTTAAACATCGGGTAGTTAGGGTTTCGTGTTGGCCCCTTTTTGTTGATTATGTTATCCCCTCTATGTTTGTCTTTGTCCTAGAGCTGTGGTCCTTGACACCTTTTTGCATCCACTATTCGCCGACTGCAGTACGTAATTCGTCTCCACTATCTATGGGTTTTTGCTCATCAAAGTCGTCAGGTAATGTTTCTTTGTCCCTTGTCCACATGTCATGCTACAACTTTTACAGACTGGCCAGGTGACGTGCTCCCCTCTTCTGAGCTGGTATCTATACCGAGCTCATTAGCATCGAGCCTCTCTGGAACTGGGCCGCAACCCAGTTTGTCTAGATAAGCTACGTGGGCCGCCTTCTGCAAGTTCATAGGGTTTTGGGCTCTAGAGGGATCTAAGCTTAAACCCATCATTATCAGTTGTTCCCTAGCTCTAGGTTAAGAGGATGACCTTCTAGCTCCGTCTTGGGATTAAATATGACTTTTTCACTGTAATGATTGCCCTGTGGATGACAGTTCCTGTTGATTGCTAATGCAATTTCAACAACAGGTTCTGTCCCCCTATACATGCTCTGATTTGAGAGTCGTGTCAAGAGAGTACATGTGTTGCGAAGAAAGGGCTTCCTTGGTATGATTCTTTTCCATGTCTAATCTTAATAATAAATGATATAAAAAGGGGGAATGTCATGCCCTTTATCTTTCCACTGTTATTTCGAATTTTTAACTTTTCGTGCTCCTTTCTCCTTCATTAGACTTAAAGGCGGTTACCTCGTTCCTTTGGTGATTCTAAGAATTATGTGCTTTCATTCCACTTCGCAATTCATTAGATATGTATCTATTCTCTTTCCTTAGCTTGGATCCCTTTAACCCCAGCTGGTGGGGCCGTGGTTTCCATTTCATTATTTGGAGATTTAGTTATTTTCGGCGTTATTCTGGCAATTTTGCTTTTGTTTTGCGGTTTGTTGACTACCCTCTCTTGTTGAGGCTGACCTTGATCAGATCTTGGTTCTTAGTATCACTATTTTTTACAAAATTGTGCTTTGCATCTGCCTTTGCATTTCGGGCTATGATTTAAAGCCCTAATGGGGAGAGTCATATCTGATACTTCTTCTGAACCTGTGTATGGAGAGGAAAGTGTTGAGAGCATTGAGGAAGTGTTGGCCTCCCATAGTAGTGATCGTGCTGAAAAGGTTTCGTCTCCCTTGGGTGGTGAGGAGCCCTTTATTAATGACACCTTACTTCTTGGGAGCGACCAATTTTTGTTGGTTTTAGCAGAGAAGTTCGAGTTTTATTCTAGAGTGTCAAATTCGAAGAATCTCGGATTGTTTCCCGTGACTTCTACTTTAGGTCGTTTCGGTGAGCTTTGTTGGCTTTGCCCCTAGTTATCCCGTGTTGTGCCGAGTCCAAAGGGGCTCCAGTTTCCTTTGGCCCTAAAAAGAAAAAGGTTTGATGAGATCTTTCTGATCTCACTTGTTGTGCCGAGTCGACCCCGAGTCATATTGATGAGGATGACTTAGAGGCCTCAAGTGCTTCATTCTCCCGAGGAGGACAAGAGGTGCAACTCATTTATTCTTGGGATGACCTATTTTTTCACCTCGACATTCTGAGCTGGCCACTGGTTTCTTATTCATCCTTTCATTCGAGATGTTCTTACCTTCTACAATATGTCTAGCTCAAGTTTCCTCCCATGGTTGGGGCTTGTTGGTTGGTCTTTTTGTCTATTGGTGCGAAAGTGGGAACATTTCTTCACCCATCATTCGTGAATTTGTCCACTTTTTTCAGCTTAAATCTTCCCTTACTCTAGACTTTTACTATTTTGCTAAGCGGGTTAAGGTGAAGAGTCTTATTTCTGGGCTTCTTTCTTCCAACAAGGGGTAGAAACCAAAGTTCTTCTTTGTCTGAGGTGATTTCTGGGAGTTTTCAGGAGCATCCAGCGATATTTCCTGTATTCTCAGATTTTGGGGGTCCCGAGAAACACACGTAAGAATGTCCTTTAAAGATTCGCATGTTAAATGTGTTCTTGTCAACATGTTAAATGTGTTCTTGTCATGGTTCTAACCTGTATTTTGTCTTGCACGCAAGTTTCCACTCTTCTCTGGATGCTACAAAGGTCGGGAGAGTGGGCTTAGTTGAAGTCTACGGTCTTAAGCCTTTTTTCACTCTGATCACCAAGGAGAAACTTGTTGAGTACTGGTTTGGGCCCTCTGTGGAGATGTTACCTACTCAGATCACCACTGTTGAAACATTGCCTGAACATTTCTCCGACCAAATGGATCTTGAGCTTATAATGGCGAGATTTGTTGACGAGAAGAAAAGAAAGAGGAAGTTGATGACAACTTTTGAGCTCCCTTCTCCCACGAAGTCGAAGTTGGCAAGTATCCCCTTGGGGCGTGAAGAGGACGACCTGATCTCCCCTGAGATCGTCCTTGCTCCCTATTTGCCGCCTGAGCTGCCTCCTAAAGATGGACCCAAGATTGCCGAAGTCGAGTTTGACAGGACGGCTCCAACGGCGCTTTCCGAAGGAGTACAAACTAGAGACTGCAAAGGCCCCTCCTAAAGTGGATATAAGGGGCAGCTATGGACGCGCTAGCTGACTTGGTTCTTACCATGGACCCTAAGGAAGCAGGGAAGAGTAGCTTTGAAAAGAAGACCAAACACGTCATCTAAAAAGTCTGGTTGAGGTATCGTGTCTCTTTCTTGCTCCCTAGAGTGCGGCATTAGGCTCTCTTTTTTTTTTCTTTTTTTTTCTTTACAGTATATGTCTTTGCTACTAGGCCTTGGCTTACATCAAGGTGATGGAGTTCCACCACCAACATGTATTAAGCATGCTAGCCAGTCAGTCCTCTGAGCAGGTTCCCCTTCGCTCTGAACTTGAGAGGGCTCAACTTGCCGAGCAATAGCTGAGGAAGGACCTAGCCGCAAAGGAACATGAGCTGGGAGTAGCGTTGGATGCTGCGGATACGACTAAGGCTAGGATAGGTCTGGTTGAGGAGAAGAATGTTGTCCTTGTCGCCTAGTTGGTGGAGATTGTTGGGATTTAATACGCTTTAAATCCACAGACAAACACATACAATCGAAGAACAAACCAAGAATATAAAGCAATAAGAAACAACAAAGAACAAGATACAAAGATTTTACATGGTTCGACAATTTGCCTACGTCCACGAAGTTGTTGGGTTTTCACTATTGGGAGAAAGGATTACAGAGAGCGGCTATACATCGATAAAACCTAATCACCAAAGTAGCGGTATTTTATATGTCCTACGCACCGGGCTACAAAACATGCCCAAAAAATTTTCCTCAAAGGGGCAACACCCCCACAAAACTTGTCCATGAGAGCTACGCCCAAGCCTTCGCTCCATGGACCAAGCCTCAAAAAAATTTTCATTAAAAATCACGCAACATTACTTTTGGTCGAGTTATCATCCAGATCAACATACAAACTAGACTCCACAAAGGCCCAACAATTCTCCCACTTGGAGACTAGTTCAAACACCAACATCAAAACCACAATCCTCCCAAAAACAATCTCACATCCCAGCAGCTCTTCCTCCTTTCCTCAAGCTAAGAGACCCACAGAAGTTGAACAAGACTTCAACTTCTCTACAGTAATCACTTTCGTGAACATGTCTGCCGGATTATCCCTTGTGTGAATCTTCTCTAAAGTGAACTGCCCATCTTCCAACAAAGAGTGAATAAAGTGATACTTTATGTCGATATGCTTAGTCCTCGAATGAAAGGCTGCATTCTTTGCCAGATGTATAGTACTCTGACTATCGCTAAACAATTTAGAATTGTCTTGTTTCTTACCCAACTCTTTCATGAAGCTCCTCAGCCATACCATCTCCTTGCATGCCTCCGTGGCTGCAACATACTCCGCCTTTGTTGTTGAAATAGTCACTATTTTCTGTAGCCTCGAGACCCAATTGACTGCTACACTGCCCAATGTAAAAACATATCCAGTAGTACTCTTCCTGCTGTCAATGTCCCCTGCTAAATCAGAATCTACAAACTCTTGCAAACAAATATCAGAACCCCCAAAATTCAAAGTCAAATCTGAAGTACCTCTCAAGTAGCGCAAAATCTACTTGACTGCTTCCCAATGCTCCTTATTCGGATTTGCCATGAACCTGCTAATAACTCCCACTGCATGAGCAATATCTGGGCTTGTATTAACCATAGCATACATCAAACTGCCTATCGCCGAGGCATATGGAACCTTTGACATATAGTTCTGCTCTTCATCTGTTACTGCACACTTTTCCTTCGAAAGCTTGAAGTGACTTGCCAAAGGTATGCTAATTGACTTAGCACTCTCCATGTTGAACCTTTTTAGCACCTTTTCAACATACTCCTCCTGTGACAACTTCAACTTCATGTTTGCCCTGTCCCTATTAATTCGCATCCCAAGAATTTTCTTCGCAGAGCTCAAATCCTTCATTGCAAACTCCTTTGACAGTTGTGCCTTGAGATTAACAATCTTATCCATACTTGAACCTGCAATAAGCATATTATCTAC